ATGTTTCTTACACAAAAGCATTGCTTTACTTGAGAAGGCCTTTATTACCCCACGGAGAGCCATTTCGAGGACTTTAATCATGAATAGATGTGCTTTAATGGACTTTAGTCATCCAGCCATTCAATGGCATTATCAACCTTGGAAGAGCCAGAACATTTTATAACTCTAATTGTATTCGTCTGAAAGAAGAATGTCATATACACCTAGGATGACCTGATTTCTTTTTGGTCACTTGGATTATTTGGTCGATCAGATCAAAAGTAGATGATGCTAAAGACAGGTGTAAATGGGGTCTAAAATATTTTGAGCTTGACCCACTTTCGAGCACTTGGGTAGGCAAAAACGTATTTGACCATATTGGATGTTCATATGGTCAAATGAGATCGAACAGCCACCTACTCTCAACCTACTGAGTTAATGCATAAACATTATGGGAAGTGTGCAAGCCAGATGGAATTTAGACTTCATTTGTTGCATTCCCAAGTTTGGTTTGAAGACGAAAAACCTACCAACTATACCAACCAAGCACAATGTCCACTCACCATTCCTGATTTCTAACACACACTCACAGCATTCAGCATCGTCTTGTGGCTATCAGAGCAGAAACGAAAGTTGCTGCGCTCCACATGTTTTTCCATCTTCTCTGGTTGTGTTCATATGTAAATTGTGTGAGCTTATTATTTCACCCATTAAATCAAAAGTTCTAAAAAAAAATTTTTTTTAAACCCTCCCCTCGAAGAAATCAGGACAGAAGTGGACAAAGGAGACGGATTAAAACGCCAGGTGTAAACAAGCATCTGTCTCCCTCGTCTGCTTATGATCTGATCAACAAAAACGCATCTTAACACCAGGTGTAAACAGGGCCGATAAGAGTGAGCACTCAGGGGGCTGGGTAGCAGTCATTTAAGCTCTAGAGAGATTGAGAGTGTTGAAAAAGGATTGTTTAATACCACTAATGCTTCAATTTCCACATCACATTTTAGTGCTTTTATCGATCAAATCGAAGAGTCAAAAGAGGGAAAAATAAGAAAAAATATTTATATAATTTACTGCATATATTTATATATTTACTGCATATATTAACCTCTGATGTTAGTGGTTCCTGGTCCAGGACCAATATGATTTTAGGACAGAGGACAGTGCTGATTTTCTGTTGTGGAAACCGGATTTGGCTGACAAAGTAGGATAAACCAGAAAGAAAATTATATTTTTCCATGTCCAGTATTCATTAATTCATTATTTCCAGTATTTATAGTTGTTCAGGTCTAGAAAGTGGTGTGCTAAAATGATACATTAGTGTGATACAATGATAACATTATAACACTCAAAGCAGTGTTCACACAACATTTATAGTGCTTTTCAAAAATGGGATACAATAGGATCTTAAGAAAAAAAAAATGGAAATTTTGCCTATTTTCTAAATGCACGGTAATTAATCTTATTGTGAATCCATGTATATTTTTTTTTTCAATGTAATTTTTAATCAGAACATGATAACTGCCTTCCTGTGGAATGCCAGAGTTCTCTCTAGTGATGTATGCCAGACATCTCCAATCATCTCATCCATAAACCAAACCCCTTTTCTACATCTGCATACATCCAATCAACAATTGCAGTTGTGGCCTAATGGTTAGAGAGTCAGACTGGTAACCAGAAGGTTGCAAATTCGAGTCTCAATACCGGCAGGAAATGACTGAGGTGCCCTTGAGCAAAGGCACCTAACCCCCAATCACTCCCCACACACCACGGACAATACGGCTGCCCATTGCTCCAGGTGTAAATGTCCACGGTTTACAGAGTGTGTTTGTGTTCACTACTCACTGTTCCTAATAGGTGTGTACTGACTTGGACGGGTTAAATGCAGAGGACAAATTCAGAGTGTGGATTACCAAACTACTTGGCCTTCTCATGTAACTTTCATTTGAATATGTTGGGGAAGGTCAAGACCCCTGTTATGGGACACGAAAATTTTCTTATAACTGACATTTGAGGCATTGGAAACTCTTCAAACTTGTTGATCTTATGTTGGATAATACATTACGAAATTGAATAGTCCTCTGCAAAAACATAGAATGTGTAACTCAAGTTCAGTAATGGACCCCAAAGTATAGGCTATCATATTCATAGAAAGTAGCATGATATCTATACAAAAAGTCTAGATACTGATATCACCTGACTGAAATATCAAGACACGTGGAGAAAATCTGTCTTTAACAAAGAAAAAGGCCTGAGAGAAAATTTAAAGTCTAAGTTATTAACCAGCCAATTTGATTCAGGGATAAAAATGGAACACGGCAACAGAGACAGAGAAAGAAAAGCAATTAAGATGACATGAATAAGATGGAGCGAAAAGGAGTTCGAGAGAGAGGTAGAGAAAGAACGGGAGCGAGGGAGGGAGGGAGGGATGGAGCGGGGGATATACAGAGTGGAATGCCAGGGCTAATCCCCAGCTCCTGTGTGGTATTTTAACTATTATTCTTTCCTCCTCGTTCCCCTGCCGCCATCACTCACTGCAGTGCAGCTAACAACCACACCGTGTCTGGACAAACCTGAGGACAGGAGACGCAGTGGCCGACCCTGTCGGACAGAGGGTCTTTGGCGTCTCAGCAGGACGTCTGGCCTGACATTTGTCTCCTTACAATAAACAGGATATTTAAAATGTTTATAAATCACAAAACACTAAGGAAAAGTCGTCACCATTTGCTCTTAGACCAATAAAAATGCTAAGTCCAAACTAAGTTAGTAGACAAGTAAAGCTTTAAAACATGCCACCTCACCTCAGTCCAAATATTTACTTTAAAGTAGGCATTAAACGAAGTTGCAGTCATCTTTTCTTCACTATTGAGAGCCTAAGTCCCTCCCCTTCCGGTCGACCACCATGGGACCTTATTTCGGAAAAATATTGTATGGTAGTCAATGGCGAGAGACAACAAATATTTTGATCTCGTTTGAATAGTGTCCTGAATTACACATATGATGTTTGTCAATTTAAAAGATACATTTTAAAGTTAAGAAAGTCACAGTTTGATGTAAAACCGTTGAGGTATAAGACTGTGAAAATACGTAATTACAAAGACTACAAACCCCAGGTGCAAATTTTCCCTCAATGAATGAAACTAACTTTACTGAAGCTATAACGCCTGTCATTGTGTCTATAGTTTTGCGTTATAATGGTAACGTTACGCCATCATGCCTGAGTGTTTTGTACCAGACTGCACACACGAGCAACGGACGGGTACTCACGGTTTCGCTTCCCGGGAGATGTAGTTCATTGAGCGATTTTCACATAAAACTAAATGTTACTCTTCTGTTTTATGACAAACTGCGACGTTTTTGACTTTCAGAATTATCTTTTAAATTGATAAACATCATATGTGTAATTGAGGGCACAGTTCAGACAGAATAAAAAGATAAGTTGTCTCTCGCCATTGACTACCAAACATATAATTTACGAAATAAGGTCCCATGAGCCGGAAGCGGAGGGGCAGGACTTAGGCTATTGTTAATGTGATGTACATCAGAGATGAACGGATTCTCGAGGAAATAAAATAATGTTAGGGCGGGACTTGATTTTGTCCATCGGGATTTGATTGGATCGTTGTTTGCTATTCTGAGATCTGATGCGAGTGACTGTTTGTCCCACCCTCGCGCTAGTAAACACGTCATCAGAGAAGAGATGCTGCAAGATTATGAGGAAACATGAATTAAATGATGTGGGAGGATAAATAATTTATATATACCTAAATATTCCATTAAACTTGGTTTGACATCATGGTGACTAACATTTAAATGCATGCCACAGACAAAACGGCAATTCTTCCCAAGTCCCGACAAAAACCGCGGCGTGGGAATACAAGGCAGGAAAACGATTGTGAGTGAGTGAGTGATCGGTGGCGAGGACGCTGTCTCTTGCAGACAAAGATCACTATGGATACCGCCCAACAGGGCACGAGTTGTGGTCTGACCTCTGCCTGCATGTGTCCCCTACAGCTGCAAAATGATACAACACAGCTGAAGCCCGTTGCTAAAAGAAGGCAACTGCGGTCGCGACAGGTGTGCTCGTAGCACCCGGACAGAGAAAGAATAAGTTCAACTGTCACCGAGCATTTTGCCTGTAGTTAAATCCATATTAACATTGCCAGGTATGACCATCTCAGACCAGCTAGAAACCAGGTAACGTTAAGTTAACTTACCGTGCTCAAATTGGATTTTCCAGCAGATAGGCCTTTCCTACAGTCATAAACCAACAAAGTGCAAAAACCAAACAATGGAAATGTCACTTTGGATTACATAAAATACTTCTGATCAAGTTGACGTACTAGAAACTGGGAATTGCTCGTCTGATTTGGGTGGCAAACGTATAACGTTAGCTCAATCCATTATAGTTTCATTTTCAGTCAACAAACGAAGCAAATTTAAGCGCGCTCTATTTTTCTGCTACGGCCACAATTGCATGCTAAAAAACAAACAAACAAAGAACGCAACATTTGGCATGGATTACCAGCTGGCAAACAATAACTTGCATTCCACTGCCAGCATAGATGTCAGGGGGTTACTTCGAGTATCCGACTGTTGTATAAAGATTTGAGGCTAAAAATAAGTGTTTATTTATATATAAAAACATAGCGAATGTTTGTTTCTCAGTTTATACTCGGATGTTTCCATGGCAGCTAAATCTCAGTCCTCGTGCAAGATTCCTGCGTTCACAGAATCAGCGTAGTTTGAGGAAAAAATAACGGTCTTGGATAATTACGACGGAAAGATTGGGTTCCTGAGGAAATATTTTAAAGGCATCCGAAATGTAATTGGCTACAGTGAAGTTATGGTAACTTTTCGTGGCACAAACGCCGTTGCATAGTGGCGTTTGAAGGACTGTCCACGAGCCTGGACGGCATCATGTTCACGCGCTCAATACTTTCCACGGACCGCTGGATTCCCCCAAACTTTGCCAAGGGCATGCGCTCTCACGACACAAGCAAATAAGGCATGATCAAACCTACCTGACACAAATGACAGCATGAGCAGGACTCTAAAATTCATTCCCGGATGAATCGGGTTATTCCTGAGATAATGGGCAGTCATTGTCCTCGTCATATCGCCGCCCGCGCTCTCGTTCTCTCCGAAACTCAGTCTGAAAGCTCCTCAGCAACAACTCCATGGGGAAAAGGCTGAGTCTGGACCGTACCACTCTGCCTCTCCGTTATGGGGGTGTGTGTCTCACCTGAAGCACAGTCCACAAACCAATTTTTGTCAAACAAGATGTAGAGAAAAGTGGATGGTCAAATATAGCTGAAAGTAGTAGGTTTAGTAGGTTTTTCATATTCTAAAACACTTAACTGTTTTGTTTTACCGAGATTTGTTAACACAAATTCTTGCAAATTCATTATATTTGCAGTGTAGGAAAGCACGGCATTCACTTTCGCGACTATATTGTGATTGAAACTCGTAATTTTTTAATCAAAACATCAACTGATCCTTCGACGACAGACTTCTCTCTGGTGACCTTGTGGATTAATTAATAAGACTGTGCACTACTAACGAAGAAAATAGGGTTAATTTATTTTTTGATAAAAAGTTCCTACTTTAGGCTAATGCCAAAAGCCTTTGCCTGAATTCAGAATGGTGTATGCTATTCCGAATTTCATCCCGTGTCAAATAGACATACAATGCAAAACAAAATCAAACCAGTCATAGGCGCAATATCACGATGGCTGCATTTGAAAGCGCATAGTCTGCTCTACTAACATTTTGAACAAGTAATAACTTCACAACCACTAAAAAAAGTATGTTCAATATGAAATGTGTGTATGACTGTAATCTGGACGTAGGCCAATACATTCTCCATGTTGCTCTTATCACGTGACGTGACCAACAGCGTTGGTCAGTTGCGTCGCTTAACTGCCGTTCACAAATCCTCCCCTGTAGCCTCATCGTGGGATAGTAAAGTGTTCATGCATTTCAGAATCTCACTGGAAGCCTAGTACTGTGATTCGGACATACATTTTTTGTCACATAGCTTTTTTTGTGTGCCTATAGTAGGGAAGTATGTGACGTTTTGGATGCAGCCAGAGCCATTTTAAAGTGTAATTTCGTTATAGCGCTGCCAACTGGCCATGTTCCATCAAATTTGTAAAGTATCTTTTCACTTTTCTGTTAAACAAATCGAAAAGGAATTTGGACTAATTTAATCGTAATTAAAATTTTGTGTATTGTGAGTATAAAACAGAACATTAAAAGACAAATTTGGGATCGTAATCAGATATTTTCCCACTTGTTGGTTCAGTCCCACAACTAGGCACTAATTTTCTGTTAGCTTCAGGCTTAATCCCCGTACCCCCTGATAATCCACTCAGAACCCCCCAACACTGAGAAAACCCCTCACCCCAATGCTACCTCTTGGTCTGAGTCTATTTGAGACATATAGAAATTAACAAGCTAATCCTACCAAACAACAAATGACTGGGCGGCCACTAGCTCCTCCCCATTTATACCAGATCAGCAATTTGTCGACTTTCTGTCTTGTCTCAATCCACCAGGGTAAGCTTTAGCTCAACCATTGGAAAACAAAGAAAGAAGTGAAGTTGTGATGCCACTCCTTTCCCCTCTGTTAGTTTTTTTTATTGGACAGAGATTTGCTTTTCTATTTATAGGGCATTGTTGATCACAGCATGCAAAAAAAAAAAAACTCAAAAAGAGGTTGATCATGGACAAAAATTATAATAAAAGAGTGCCTTTACAGTAGATTTTTATGAAGTTTTCTAAATGATTTCCCTGGAGTCGCAATGCATCATCAACAAAGTCAGCTCACTCTGTTACTGTTACACATCTCCTCCATGAAAACAATACATCAAAGACAGATGTGACGAAGCAACGAGCCTTGTTCCTTAGACTATTTGTTATTTTGCAGCAGCCTATATGAACCAAGAGACTCCTTCCATTCAATAGTGGTTTTGTCCACTGCACCCAGACGGTTTGGTTTACAAAGAATCTGGCCCATCATCATCGTTCCTCCAGCTAAACCCTAAATCCCATTTTGTTGTTTGTTGACAGTTTTTTCTAAGAAAATCCATGAACCAAGCAATACATCCTCTCTCTTACTTGTTAGATGCTGGTGAGTTAGTTTTTTTAATGTGAGGGAATAGCCTATTGGAAAATAATGTTCTGTTAGGACTCTGGAAATTTATGAACATCTTTATTGAATGTTTTCTTCATCTGCTGTAATGTGTGCCTGTGTTCCACCTTGCTTTCACCTTGCTGTTTGGACTAGAATTATTCTAAAAGCAAATTTTCCTTCTAACTCATTCTTTTACCATTTGTTAATTTGGAAAAGGATGGAAAACTGGGCACACAGTCTCACCTGGCAGTGAGAGAGGGACTATTTATGAGGTACTCCAGGTGATTAAAAAAATTCAAGAAGAACTTACTGGGTAACGGACAACTTTATGATGATGACTAACTTAATTCTGATGTATATCCCACATTTCTTTCTAATGTGTGACAGGGGATCGATACATTTTTTTTCTCTCTCTGTCTGGATGTTTGTCTCTGTATTAAAGTAAAAATATAGGATGAGCAAGGCAGGTTCTGACTGGTCTCTTTTTTGGTCAAGTAAAAATGTTGGTGTGTATAACACACTATATGTGTATATATATATATATATATATGTGTGTGTGTGTGTGTTTACATAATATACGTGGGTGCACTGTGTATAATTATTTTGTATATACATAAATACACACACATGCATGTATATTTAAGAAAAAAATATTTATATATAAAATATTTATATATAATATAAATTTATATACAGTATATACATGAAAATATTTCTTTATACAAGCAAGTGTGTGTATTTAATAAAATACTATATATATATATATATATATATATATAAAATAATTATGCAGTGCACCCACATATATGATGTAAAGAAAAACCTTTAATTATTTGTTTGATTAATTATTTGACATAAATATATATATATATATGTGTGTGTGTGTGTGTGTGTGATTATATATAATAGCCTTATTTTAAAAAAGAAATAAAAAAATGAATTACTTTATATTCAAAACTTAAACTTAATTTCAAAACTTAATAAACTAAATCTGTTTTTTTGTCTGTTTTTTGTTTTATGTCTAAAAATTATAAGCTGGATATAGCAGATCACAAGAATATGAATCATTATCTAATTTAGGGACATTGGTATTTGCGACACTTCTCATGACCTTTGGCTTGGCCTTTCTGTGAATAAAATGTAAGGTGAAAAAAAAACCCACCAGTGTCATGAAAAAAAAAATCGCCTAATTAAGAAATAAAAAAAGTATTTAATTAACAGACATTTTCGTTAGATAGCAACAAAAGCATTTAAACTTGTTACTGGGAAAGCTTCCCCTGAGGGTTAGTCTCTCTAATGATGTGATGCCATGGCAACATTCAATTGGTAATGTATCCTGAACTCAAGTGATAATCTAGTCCTCATCTTGCTCCAGAGGTTGTCCTGGAATCAGAACAAATGGACATACTTTAAAACACTTGAGATGTAATTGCTCAAACCTGTCCTTTCAAACTCTCTAAAGTGCTTTGCCATTTATCAAGTATTACGTGCCTGAAAGATTTTTCTAAACACTTCAATGTTTAGTATATTTTATACACTGAAAAAAAAATTTTTTTCACCCTTGTGCTTTCTTAAAACCGGGAAGCACATTGCGGGTGTTGCCTGCTGCGGAATGTTGCATGAGTCCTCAAGGACCCTTAAAAGAGGAGGCTTGGTGCACTCTCTTTTGTACCAACACGTCCTGACTTAACTCCCTCATTGCAGAACACTCTCTAGTTTACTCAAGTAAATACAGTATTTCATAAGCTGCAGTTTTAAACATTTTCTAGACAAGTAACGTAGAATAGCCCCACTCGGAAAATAAATCATGTGCCAATTTCATCATATAGCATGGCAGTAACCAGCACGTATGCATTGAAGAGTTGCAGGGAATGAAGGGTGTCTAATGCCAGCTTGGAGGACCAAGGAGCTGTTTATGCATTTGTTTTCATTCATGCTCTCAGTCTCATTTTTGTGTTCAACCTCATCACTCAATGTGAAGTATTCTTTTTATTCTCATTCTTTTATTTGGGATTCAATAAACAAGTCTTTTACTTTATAAATACAGAGCGCAAGATCAAAAACGGCATGTTTGCTGTCTGGACCGACTTTGCGTTTTCCTTTGATTAGTCCAGCAAACCCCAAATTACTTCAGTCTTCAGTCAACACTGGCATGCTAGTGAAGTCCTACAGTGAGATCCAGTGTCCAAATCCATGTAGTCATAGATGAATTTCCCTTACAATGGTCGCAGAGGGCAGACATTGATAGGATAAAACCAAACCAAGTTATATAAACCGTGGCTGAGTTTAGTTTGTCCATTTAGCAAGCTGTTTCCCATGATGAAGATGTCAGTCTTTGGAATGACGACTTGGAAGGAACAGTGTTTTTGTCTCTTCTATTGTCTTCATGTCACTTTGACCAATGTTTGGTAAAGAATACACTATAAATACCACATTGTTTTTTAAGCCGAAACCAAGCTTTGCCACATTGTCCACAATAGCTAAACAAACATAATAAAGGATAATTTTCAGTTTAGTTCATTTGTTTAAAAACACAAACAAATAATTGCTTTTATAAAAAATACTTCACAATTGAGTTGGTCACATTTGATCTGTATTTGAAAAACCTTTTATGGCCTTTCACTTTTTCACGAATCTTGTACATTCCCTCCAATTTTGAATATTTTTTCATGATTTTTCAAATTTAGGGAGAAGAGAGGTCTTCACAAATCACATTAAAAAAAGTATAATGTTCATAAATTAATAGCAGAATGAATTGAATCAATCAATCAAGACTGGAACATATGTGACAACAACAAGTGAGAAGAACATGCCAACTGTAAATTGTCCTATATTGCCTCCTTCTGGCCGTTACTCTTGGGAAGATACTCCCTTCTCAAAAAGAGAAAAACATACATACTAAAATAAATAATGTTCATCTACACTTTAAAACCAATTCAAAGACAAAAAAAAAGTAATAAACAATTGTTATATTTTGTCCACGGTTCCTAATGCATGACCTATGCGTTAACACTTTCCGTCACTCTATTTGTCCATCATGAAAACATAAGATTCTTTGTCTTTTTTATATATTTGAGTAATATAGCTTTTCCTTATATATATAT